ACCGTTGCCGCCGCCATTTTGTGAGCGTGCTCTAGTGCGGCCGCCATTACACGAGTGGGTGGGGTGTCGCGTTCCTCCGCGACACCCACAGTGAATAGAGAGCCAACAGTCAGCAAAGCATAATCCAAAAATTGGCTGAGTGACGAACGCGGACCCTCGCGTCTAAGCTTATACTGAAGAGGTTGATTGATGCCATCACAGAAAAACTCTATCAAAATAATGTCTGGTAACTCTGAATAGTGAGCGATGGTTAAAAACTCTCGAATATAGCTCTCCAGTGATCGTGTGCCTTGTTTAAGGGTTACTAGTAATCTTGTAGTGTCCATACCTAGCCATTGTCCATTTCCATTGGAAAAGCTGCTGAATCCTTGTGTGACCGAGTATTCTGTAACGAGGCAACAGGGACGAGAGACGTGTGGATCCATTTGCAAAGCTTTTATTCAAAGGCGTGGTCAGAAGCAGGCGAGGGTCAGACAATGGCAACAGGTATATTGAGGGCAAGACACAAGAATAGTCCAGTAAACGGGCGTGGTCAATCTTCGGCGAACAATGTCCAAACAGGGTAATCCAAAGGGTTAATCCAAACACAGGCGATGGTCCAGGCGAGGGGTAATCAGTATCCGAACAGGGCGAGACGAGAGGGGTAATCCAGGATGCACAGGCAAGAATCAGAACACGAGAAAACAGACAAGGCAAGACTATGACTAGACTATGGAAAACTCAAACAATGACAGGGAATTGGCTCCATAAAGTAGCTACGCTAAACAGCATAAACGCTTAACAATACTCGGCAGTTTGAACAGGATCTGAGTGGGTGTTATATAGTGTGTGATTGGTTTCAGGTGAACGTGTGATTAGTGAAATGGCTGCTGGAAAATGTAGTCCGGGGTGACATGTGAAAGTCTGTGTAGTGAGAGAGTCATTAAAATGGAAGAGCGACCTTTGGTGGTAATTGGACGGAAGTCCATGTACCGGATTCGTGACATGAATAATAAGAGCTGAGGACTACTGAAAATAGTGTAATTATCTAATTATAGTGTGCTTTGTGGTCTACTTATTAAATATTTGAATTTTTATTACAAAGAAATACCTAGAAATTATACATTGTTATTTTAAGATTAATTTTCCTCTAAAACTGTAACGTCAAGAAGGTTTGAGATTTGGTCGACTAAAAAAAAAAAACCTAAAACCTGCTCCTAAGGTTCCACTGCCCTGCAAAGTTTATTTCCAACCCGCTTCAGCAAACCTGACCTGTGACTTGTCAAATGATCCTGAAAACCTTGATTAGCTGGTTCAGAGGTGTTTAATTGGGGTTGTAGCTAAACTCTGCTGGACAGTGGGTCCCCAGGAGCAGGGTTGAAGGCCTATGACCTAAAACAAGAATTCTGTAGTTACTGAAAAGTCTTAAAGGAACAATTTACTCACCTTCAGGCCATCCAAGAAGTAGATGACTTTGTTTTTTGTCGGAACATATTTAGAGAAATTTAGCATTATATCACTTGCTTACCAATGGATCATCTGCAGTGAATGGGTGCCGTCAGATTGAGAGTCCAAACAGCTGATAAAAACATCACAATAATCCACAAGTAATCCACACCACTCCAGTCCATCAGTTAATGTCTTGTGAATTTATGTCATTTCTGACGGCACACATTCACTGCAGAGGATCCATTGGTGAGCAAGTGATGTAATGCTAAATTTATCCAAATCTCTTTTGATGAAGAAACAAACTCTCTATGAAGCCCGTATTTATAACACATTATAAGGGTATTCTTAAGGCATTATTATGAGTGCATAATGCATTATAAAAACACTTATAATATGTTGTTTCATCTCATAAATAATCATAACAACAATTATAATACATTATAAAACTTACTTATTTGTGGTTATAACTTTTATGAGTATTATTATTTATAACATGCAATAAACTCCATGTTAAATCCACTTAATTTATAATGGATTATAAGTCTCATATCTTGACATTATTTAAGATCTGTACAGTATCTTACTAGCTTACTGATATTACAATAAATATAATTAAAATCAAATGTGCCATATTACACATTCATCTGATCAAGATCTTTGATCTTATGGCTGTTTAAGAAAAAATATTATTTTTATTATTATTATTATTGTTGTTGTAATTATTTATAAGTGGTCTTTGTCTGTTTTAAGTAAAGTAACAAGTTAACAATAGCAAGATATGAGACTTATAATATATTATAACTATGGGAAATATAATCCATTGTAAGTTAAGTGGATGCACTGTGTTCATTGTGTGTTATAAATCATCATACTCTTAAAAGCTATAACCACAAATAAGTAAATATTATAATGCATTAAAACGGTTGTTATGATTACTCATGAGATGATACAACATATTATAATGTTGTTTATAATACATTATGCATTCATTATAATGCCTTAAGAATACTCTTATAATGTATTATAAATACGGGCTTCATAGAAAGTGTTACCACAAACTCTTCTACATCTCGTATGGGCTGAGGAAGAGTACATTTTCAGCCAATTGTCAATTTTCAGTGAACTTTTCCTCTAAGCAATGAATAAGAATAACTTGTACATTTACAAATAGTGATGCACATTTATCATATGAACACTAAATGCTTCCATGATACATTACTATCAACTCAGTACTTTGCATGCTAATGCCTCTTTGCTTTATTGTCTCTTTTTAAAGAGTTTAGATAATGCATCCATGTTCTCTTGCGCATTTCACTGCAAATGGAAAAATGTGTATCTTTCATTTAACATGCATGCCTGGTCACGAAAAGGTGTAAATTACAAACACATCTGATGAAAAATTGGATTAGTGCTCTGGAAAAGTGTCTGATTTACACATTATTTGTGCCTCATTAATGGCAGCCCCTTGTGTCCAAAATCTAACAGGATCATGATCTTGAGTGAGTCAGTCAAACAGGCAGCCAATAATCTTATAGCCAAGAATCTTATAGCATGTACTTACATAATCTTAATTTAGTATTGATTCTTAATTTAATTAATTGAAGTAATTCTTAATTTAGTATTGTCTTCCTGGAGGAAGACCTTTGAGAATCTTGGCTCACTCATACAGGTATCCTGTCATAGGATCCTGCGGGATACAGAGGAACCTGAATCGGTATCAAGCAGGTGGGATGCTGGAGGGCAGGCGCTTCCTGGCTGACATTTTATAGGATTTCACAGTATCTTTGAGTTTCAATGCATCCATGCCAGGAAAGTAACCAGAGGCGACGTCATAGAGCAGCTTTAGCACAGGACTAATTCTCCACGGTGATGTGCCAACAAATGCACTGAAACATGGTTAAATATGGAGAGTCCTCAGAACAGATGAGCCTCAGATAAATTACATAAATAATCATAAACAGAAGCAATATTGCACATCAATGCAAGTAATGAGCCTTACTGTATGAATCATAAAGAATTACTTTACTGTAAGGTGACTAGATTTCTGAAATGAAAACTGGGGACATTTCCTATAGTTCAGTCTTTAACATACTCACTTGATATTATCTTTGAATCAAAAAATGCGGAAAATGCATTTGTGAATGTGTGTGTGTTTTTTATGTTTTTGTTTTTTTGTTTTTTTTTTAATTGTGGGTTCCATATACTGGTCAAACTGATTCTAACTCGTTTTATTAAACAAAATCGCACTATGATAGTAAACACTAAAACTGTAAATGGTAACCATTGCAAATATCAGATCAAAACAAAAGTAGGCTATATATTATATACAATTATGACTTTACATTAAAAAAATACAAAAATAAAAAAATAGAATGGAATTTCACAAACTGTAAATATACAACAGTAGGCTACCTTCAACTTTTTAACTTTTCAAATGTTATTTTACAGGTATGTTTGCACTTTTGGAAATTGATCTTTATTATGTCTAAATTATCTTATTATTTTGCATTTTAGGCTAATTTTGAGCACAAATTAGCTATATTAATAAAAGAATAATTGTTGACAGAATAATTATTTGGTTGATTAATTTGTACTTTCACCCTACTTTAATGTCCATGGTATCTGTGTAGTTTCTCTTTCTAAGTTTACATGTATTTATTTATTCTGAACATGGTCACATTCTTTGTTAATTTTGTACAGTTGTTTGCATTGTTTTGTTTGCTATTTTGTATGTTAACTTTTCCTTTTTTTATATAGGCTACTTTATATGAAACAGAAAGCTATATATTTTAAATATAGCCTATACTGTGGAATCATTTTTGCCTTTGTATTTCATACTTTTGTAAAAGCATTCCGTTTCAATAAAAACTATTGCATGAAGGCAAATATTTACGTATAAAGAGTTTACTATTGCTCCCAAGCGGTGTGATTTCCGCGGGTTTTTTAATACGTCAACCAGTGACGTAATATCCGGTACAGTAAGCGCCTATTCTCAAACCTTCAGGAGGAGGAAGCTAAAGCAGCGTGCGGTGAGTTTAATATGTCAGATGAATGCAGTATTTCTCAGCTGTCGACTACAAAATATCAAGATGCATGGATGCAAATATAGCTGTGAAATAAATGTGCTAGACAGCTTGCACTGAGTAACTTAAGCAGGAAGTTAGCTAGAACAGCTAACTTAGTTGTTTACCTCAGTTGTGCAGGTGCTTACACTGTTTTGCTGGCTCTGCAGAGATGAATGTGGCTACATTTGATTGCCATTAACAAATGCATACATACAAACATTTACTAAACACAATGGAACGTATATTTATGATACATATGGTGCATTAAATACTCATGAAGTCTCAGGAGTCTTAATATACAGACTTTAATCGAAGACATAGTTAAGTGATAATGTTTACTGAAGTGCACAAAGTTAAACGCGAGCGATATGAGTTCAATTTGATGGCTCGTGTAATACCGCTACCATTGACATTAATGACAGCCGCTGCTCTGCATAAATGTCAATGTATAAACTCAATTACATAAAGGCCAACAGTCATTGCAGCTAAACAACCCTTGCTTCGCCACAGATTCCGAGAAAATAAAGTGGACCCTGTCTCTCTCTCTCATTGTCATTATCGTTTAGCGTGTGCCTGCATCTGTGGTGAATGTGCCTGAGGAGCTGTTTCCTCTAACATTAGCTGTTGTGATGTTGGCATTATTACTGAAGCGTTTTGTTAACAGGAGCTCATAGGGTCACATTACCATGCTCATGAAGCGCGCTGCTGTTTTTACGCTCGAATATATCCATTTAAACACAGCAGAGAGCCTTAAATGTGTGGAAGGATTGTTTGTCCAGGTCAGAGATATAGTTGTGCATAGCCCTGCTCATATCTTTGGGCATTTGGGCACCATAGGCTTGCAAGTCTACAACCAATTTTTGAGTATCACAAATGAAATGTTTGTCCTTTGGTAGTCTATAAAGGGCAATGAATGAATAAATAAATAAGTTGACAAGAAAAGTTAAAAGAATCAGGGCGTATTAGCCAATCGGAGAAATGGAAGGTACTTTAAAATCATTTTAGGATGATCAAAAAAAAAAAAAAACATCAAAAAGATTTAACATTACCATAAATTTTAACAAATATGTCCACATACACAGAAGAGCAATCTTTTATGTGTATTTAAGAGAGAAAAATAAAATATAAGAATAATAACAACAACAAAACATTTATACAGTTAAACAATAGTACAAATTATCTTCCTTGGGACAAAATCAGTGGGGGAATTATACAATAAAAAAGCTTCTATTTCTAATAAAAATAAATTACATTTTGGTATGGATTTCACCATTTTTTTTTAATGAACGTAGTATTTACCTTGCAAAATGTTAAAGTTAATGTCATAGTCTACTCAGTCATATAGTACAAATTATCTTCCTTGGGACAAAATCAGTGGGGGAATTATACAATAAAAAAGCTTCTATTTCTAAAAAAAATAAATTACATTTTGGTATGGATTTCACCATTTTTTTTTAATGAACGTAGTATTTACCTTGCAAAATGTAAAAGTTAATGTCATAGTCTACTCAGTCATTTTGCTTTTGTGTGAATATGTGCAAATAACATATTTTAAAGAGAGCATGTAATTGACATTTCTTTGAACAAATAAAAAGGCACTAACATCAGACCAAAATCTAAAAGACACAATCACATTTATAAAACAACTGAGACAAGTCTTCCTCGTGTGCTTTACAGAAAATGCAACTATTGCCAATGTCCATGAATTTAGAAAGAGCTATTGTACATGGGTAAATTGTGTGAAGCATTTTGAAATGTACCTCTTTAACTTTGTTCAAAATACAAAATTTGTAAGGATTTGACCAAGCTACTTTAATATCAGAAATTTTTGCATTCCAATGGAATTTTCCTCTAATGGAGATTTTATGTTTTGACTGAAACATGTGTCTAATATTTTTATTATTATAAGAGAAAGTAAATCTTTCAGTACCATCTATTAACTCTGGAAGTATCCTTTCATTGCTTCCAAAAGTTAGATGACTATTTATCAACCCATTTGGAATAGCTTTAACAACTTGTTGAAATTCTTTAAAGGGAATGGGGAAGTTGTAAAAATGAAGAAAAGTCTTCATAAGACAGAATGTTTCAACTATCATAGAACAGATCCATAACAAAATATATATTCCTTTCAAACCACTGGAAAAATAACGATTTATTCCTAGAGGTAATGACATAATTGTTCCATAAAAACATTTTATGTAAAAGTTGTGGTGGAAACAAATTTTCCAAGCCAATATTGATTGCTGCATGGTGAAATTTCGATAACTTAACTGGTAACTTTCCTGGAAGAAAATTACCATTTTAGGCATTCTGGTTTGCTGACATTGGGTTGAGTGACGTCTGGTGGGCGGGCCTTAAAGCTCTGTAATATTCCTTTTGTTTTTAGATCTCTTAGATTCTAAATATATTCTCTTTACTGTATATATACATTTGCTGGTATTTGCATGTTATTTAAATATTTTAAAATTAGGGATGCACCGAAATGAAAATTCTTGGCCGAAACCGAACAAAATGAAATACTGGGCCGAAGACCGAATACCGAACAAGGTTTTTCGAGGTTTTTTTCCCAATTTGAACACTGTGTGAATGTTATATTAAATGTATTAACAGAGCTGTTGAAATTATTATCATTATTATTGTCTTACTTTTTATTTTATTTTACAGAACAACAGTAAAATTACAATACTAACATTTATGAATGTTTATGTAGTTATTGCTTTTTCTCAACTTTTATTTTGGCGGAAACGCGCAGGAAGACCTTAATGCTTCTTTTTGTCGACAGCAGATTTATAAATGAGTCTCATTACGAATACGTCGCTCGTATCGCATTGTCACGTGCCTTGTAAAAAAAATCATAAAAATCTGATTGAGCAACTGACGAGCGCAGATTTCCCTCGCGGTTTGGACTTTGAACCCTGGTTAACGAGCAGATAGCGCCGCGAGCTCGTGCAGCGCTGTCAGAATACATGCCCTGCGTGCGTGTATTAGAAAACATGACGTTCTGCAGTTTATTTACTAATTGTTTAAGGCCATTTCACGATTTCAATCATCATACAGTAACCAGCAACAATCACCCCTTCCTCTTCTAATCGAAGACATGCGATGCAGTACTAAACAGTCTCTCGCTGTCGGTGCTTGTAATGATTTTTGCCTCTTTCTCCGACACTTTTAAATGCTTCCACAAAGCTGACATGTTTGTTGCATAGCGCCTCTCACTCTACGCTGGTTGCTATTTGATTGCGTCACGTCATTGTTCGGTACAGTTTATTCTGTCTTTTTCGCTTATTAGGCCGAACTCCGAAAGAGCTTTTTTTTGCTATTTTCGGCCGAATAATTTCGGTTACCGGTGCATCCCTATTTAAAATATTTTAATAAATAAATATTTTAATTTTATTTCATTCTTATTTAAATATTAACATTTTCGTAATGATGCAAACTTGAGTAGTGTGAAAGATTTATTTGTGAATTTTTTTCTAGGTTTTTTTAGTGTATCTTACTGTGCATTACTATACTGTGATGTCTAAATTTACTTATAGAAGAATTTAAAACTATTTTTTCCCCTTTTTTTGCATTTTAATATTGGCTGTTCCTTTCAAATTTTAGGGATGCACCGAATATTCGGCAACCGAAATTATAAGCGAAATAATCGCTTAAGCGAATAAGTGAAAAGGCCGAATAATATGTACCGAACAATGACGAACGCGATCAAATAGAGGCACGCGCTAATGCAGCAAACATCGGCAGTGTGAAAGTATTTAAAACTATCAGAGAAAGACGTAGAAATCATTACAAGCGCGAAGCACCGACAGCCAGAGACTGTTTAGTGCTGCATCACGTATCCGATGAGAAGATGAGGTGGCTAATGCTGGTGGTTAGGTTACTGTATGATGATTGAAATCACGTCTCCCAGTTTACCGGAGACCTACTTTAACGTGTTTCGGGAGGAGAGGATGAATTTGCGTGTTGTAAATCCCACATCTCGGATTCAGCGTGAACTAACATGGCGGCGCCCGTCACCTGGTATAAATCAACTAACAGATACAGTTTAAAATAATGGTCGCCTAAAAAAAACTCACGCTGGGGGCTCAGCTAGAATATTTTAAACTCACCTGTGAAAGGGATAAAAGCACCGTGCGCATTTTACTTTCACTTTGAATTAGCGGCAGGTCGGCGTCAATCCAAAATCACCTTAGATAAACGGCAAAATTAATTTAAATTGTGCTTTGTTGGTATAATGTCTGCTAGAGTGTTAAAAAAAATGTTCAGTGTTAAGTAAATATTTTTAAATTGTTCTTTTTTTAATTGATTTTTTTATTTGAAAAGCAGGACAAAACAGTAAAAAGCACATTTTGGCAATTTAATGCAATGGTGAAAAAAAATTGGCAAAATAGGCCTACATGGGGGGGGGGAAATGTGAAACAGTGTTTGGTATTCGGTATTCGGCCTTGGCCCAGTGTTTCATTTTGTTCGGTTTCGGCTTCGGCCAAGAATTTTCATTTCGGTGCATCCCTACTTTATTTTATCATCAAAAACATTTGAGGACAAAATAATCACTTGATTTGCCATAGATTGCCAAGCATCATTTCTTTGAAATGTCTTCAGAGTAGTGTTGTCACGGTACCAAAATTTCAGTATTCGGTACCAATACCAGTGAAAATCCACGGTTCTCGGTACCCGGCAACAGTGTTAAGCAGCCCAATTCCGCGGGAAAACCGCGAACTTGGCAACACTGGAAGAGGATAGCTTTCGTTTAGCGCATCAAGAACCGGGTTGACCGGGTACTCGGTACCACCAGTACTTAAGAAAACCTGGTACCGTAACGTTTTCATTTTTTTAGTACCGACTTGGTACCGAAATACCGGGCCTTTTGACAACACTACTTCAGAGTTTTCATTTGAAGCATTTAGTAGCAAGTTAACTAACTAGTTATCCACGCATATTGTGTTAGTGAAATAATCTGTGCTTAATACCTACTGTACCTTTTTTATTTTCCTGTTCACTGTTTGTCCAGTGTTTTCTTATTTAAAAATCCGACATTTTCTTCACATTTGAAATTGCTGTTTTTATTTTGCAATCTATTTCAGATAAATGCATCCCTAAACAGAGAGTAGCAATGAAATTAACTACGGTTTGTTGCTGGTCAGGCGGCTCTGCCTGACTAAGTGGGTGTTTTTTGGCCAGACTTAACAGAAATCACTAGAACTCAATAGTTTCAATAAAT